TCAAATATATATATATATATATATATATATATATATATATATATATATATATATCATATGACTCAAGAAACCAGACATGAAAATGCAGTAGCGTTTCATTTGTAATTTTATAAATAAAGCTTGCCAGAATATCAGAGAGTAAAACAGCCACACTAGCCAGACATACAGACCAGGCAGCCATGACATGCACCTTTAATCCCAGTAGCCACACTAGCTTGTCATAGAAACCAGGCGGTAGTGGTGCACTACCCAGAATTAGAGAGGGTTATAAAATGGGAGGGGACAGTCCTCAGTCTTAGTCTCAATCTGAGGTGTCCTGGAGGCAGGACCGCCATTTTCAGACTTAGGTAGAGGTAAGAGCCAGTGGCTGGCTGCTTTGCTTTTCTGTTTTTTTCAGGTTGAACCCCAGTATTTGTCTCTGAGATTTTATTAATTGTGCTACATAAAAGCCCAAATAATTCAAATTAAAATGGGTTGCATACCTAAACGGAATTCTCAACAGAAGAATCTCAAATGGTCAAGAGATACTTAAAGAAATATTAAAAAATATTAGCCACCAGGGAAATGCAAATCAATATGACTCTGAAATTTCATCTTACACTTGTCAGAACGACTAAGATCAAAAACCCAAGTGACGGCTCATGTCGGAGAGGATGTGGAATAAGGGGAACAGTCTTCCATTGCTAGTGGGAGTGCAAACTTGTACAACCACTCTGGAAATCAATATGGTGTTTTCTTAGAAAACTGGGAATTGATCTAACTCAAGACTTAGCTATATCACGCCTGGGCATATATCGAGAGGATGCTCCATCCCACCGCAAGGACATTTGTTCAACTATGTTCACAGGAGCTTTACTTGTAATAGCCAGAATGTGGAAACAACCTAGATACCTCTCAACCAAAGAATGGTAAAGAAAATGTGGTATATTTACACAATGGAGTATTACTCAGCTGGCTAAAACAACGACATCATAAAATTTGCAGGCAAATGGATGGAACTAGAAAAAAAATCATCCTGAATGAGGTAACCCAGACTCAGAAAGACAAATACAGTATGTTCTCACTTATAAGTGGCCATTAGCTGTAAAGTAAAGGATAATCATGCTATAACGCACAGACCCAGAGACACTAGGCATCAAAGAGGGTTAATGGTGGGATGTTAAGATCTCCCCAGGAAGGGGAAATAGTAGATTTCGTGGGTGGACTGGGGGTGGGTGCGGATGGGAACAGGAGAGGTAAGGTTCAGTGGTGGTAGGGGAGAATATGAAAGAGATGCCTGGAAAGGGGACACTTTATGTGAGGTAGAAACCTAGTCAAAGGGAAACGCCCAGGAATCGACAGGGATGGCCCCAGCTAAGACTCCTAGCAATGGGGGATGCATAATTTGAACTGCCCATCTCCTGAGATCAGACAGGACTTTCAGTGAAGGGATTGGGACACCAACTCAGCCATATAACCTGTGAACTACATCTGTCCTGCCTATGGGATGTGCTGGAATTGGTGCCTAGCCCAAGTGACAAGAGAGGTTTTACCCAGCAACTGATGGAACATATGCAGAGATCCACAGCCAAACATCAGGCAGAACTTGGGAAATCCTGTAGTAAAGGGGGAGGAAGAATTGTGGGAACCAGAGGGGTCAAGGACACAAGAAAACCCACAAAATCAACTAGCCTGAGCTCACGGGGGCTCACAGAGACTGAACCAGAGACCCTGCCAGGAACTGACCTGTGCCTTCTGGGTGTATGTCATAGTTCTGTAACTCGGTCTTTTCACGGGACTCCTAAGAATGGGAACAGAGGCTGTCACTGACTCTTCTGCAGGATTTTGGGACCCTATACTCTACACTGATTTGTCTCACCCAGCAGGGGAGGTGCTTAGTCTTACTCAACTTGCTTTGCCATGTTTTGTTGACATCCATGGGAGACCTGTCTTTTCCTGCATAAAAAGGCAGAGTGGATGAAGGGGGCTTAGGGGAAGTGGGGGAGAGGGATTGGGAGGAAAGTAGGGAGGAAAAACTGGTTGGGATGTAAATAAAACATAAATAAATAGAAATAAAAAGAGAAAAATAGAATAAGAGAGATGAAAAGTAAGAGGATAAAATTTGGAGAGAAATGGTGGATCTGGAAAGAGCTAGAGGAGGGGGGTATATATAATCAAAATACATATATTCATGTATGAAATCTCAAACAATAAATGTTAAATATTGTGAAAAATATAAAATACTGGAAGTAAAAAAAGACTTACCCCATCTTCCTACAGCTCAGTTGAGGAGAAAATGAAGCCAGAGCAAAATAATAACGCAGAATCACAAAGAGTATAACATAGGCTTGAATAGAGAGCATGAACTGTTAAAAGGAATTATAATGTTTCCTGATAAACTGACTTAAAATACATGAATCAGCAGTAGCAGCCAGCAAGTTTTTCCTCCGGCTTGGCTCTGAGGTATCTACTAGAATGATAAAGAAGAAATCTCTCTGCTTGGAGCTATGTATTACGTGGTAGATGTAAATAATGCAAAGTCAAATACAACCTCCCCGAAATACAAAAGCAAATTTCATTTCAACTTCTCCTGTCCATACGATTACACAAAGGTCTATTTCACATGACCACTGAACTCCTAGAACGTTGTTGATTTCCTCATTCCCACCCCACGTTTCTAGAAAGTCCTTCTAGAGAGATGGTAGAGCTGCTTCTGTTGGAGTTGGAGGTAGGCAAACAGAAACTGAAAGACATTGAGGAAACCTCGACACTTGACAATTTCAGAAAAGACTCCATTTTGAAAGTCAAGGCGTCTCCAGATATTTATGCCGCGCTTGTAGATGGAGAAACATCTCTGAAATGGTAAGGTTGGCCGACTATCAAGATTGTTTAACAGGCTTTCTAGTACGGACAGGAAACCAAACTCTCTGAAGACGTCATTAGGACAGTAACTTTTTTATTAACCACCCCCAACTCTCTATACTTCACTCTCTCCTCACCCCCTTTTTCTCCTTTTTTTTTCCAATATAAAGCCAGCTGACCACTCCCAGGGTATGAATTTATGATGGGGCAAAGCGAGGTGGTAAATCCAGCGATCGCACAGTTCTACGCACGGCAAATGCTGAATCATCTTACAGCAGACCGAATGTACAGCCCTCGAGTTCTCCTGGCCTTATGGAACTGGCAGTCAGTTTTAGAGAAGAACCGTGCTATGGCCAGCCCTTGCACACACACACACACACACACATCATGGTGATCTCATGGTCCTGGGGCCCTGGGCTGAAAAGGAGGGCACTGGGTTAGGTCTCTCCGATTCTTTGCGTGTGTGATCTGTGAACTAGTTGTGTTTTAGCCTACACCGAGGAAAACAAAAAATGGACGTGTAGACACTTGCTTTTAACCGTTCTCCGGATCACCGTTTTATTATCGTAATTATTAGCCCCTTTGAGTGAGCTGTTAGCATTAGAAAAATATTCTCAGGTTGAGCCTTTTAAATAAAATATTCAGTGTTGCCTACTTTATAAAGCTATTTGCAGACATTAGGAATACTGGTGGAGACAAGTTATAGCTGCAATTTCTTTTTCAATCCCCAAGGTAAAATACTAACCGAAGACGCCCTCTAGGCAATTCCCGAACCCACCAGTGTCTCCTTTCTGCCAGGGCGGGTTCCAGAGCCAGGCTGCTCTCTATGTGTGTGCAGCATTCAAACGCGGCAAACCTAAATCACATTTCCATCACCATATTGCCTCACATTTCCCTTCTGGTCCTTCAACAACAACAGCAACACAACACCCCGACACAGCAGCATTTTCTTTAAAATTCCCTCGCTGGTGAAGCGCCAGGCCGGCGTGGGGTCGCTGGAGGTGCGGCCCCGAGACGAGACTCTCCGGTGCTCGACTCCCTGCGGTCTGCGCGGCCGGCTGGGCGAGCGCGCACCTGAGCGGCGGGGCTGGAGGGCGAGCAGGGCGAGCTGGGCGAGGCCGGGGCCGCGCTCCTCCTCCGCACCGGCCGGGGTCACCTGGCGTCTTCCGCCCCAGCCCCGCTTCCTGGTGCCCGAGCTTCACTCGGTGGTCCCCAGCCATCCCATCTCCCCTCCACCCCTCCACCGCAGGCCCCTGCCCTGCTGCCCGCGCGCGTCCTTCCCGCGCCCGCTCGCCCTGCCGCGCCCCCAGGTGTCCCCTCAGGCCTGCCACCTCCCGGCCCGCCCCGCCCAGCGTTGCCGGGGCTCGGGCCCGGCCCCGCGGTCTCCCTCCCACCCCCGTCCCCCTCGCGCCCCTCCCCAGCACGCGCTATTTTTAGCCCGTCCTCCGCGCGCCGCCCGCCCGCTCGGCGCAGCTCGCCGCCGCCGCCCGCCCGCCCGCCCGCCTCCCCGCACGGCGCGCAGCGCCCCAGCCTCGCGCGCCCCCGCCGCCTGCGCCCCGCCGCGCCCCGCCGGCAACTTTCCCTCCCCGCTCGGCCTCCTGCCTCGCCATTCCCTCCTGCGCTGCGGAAGATGGCTGTTTGGAGAAGGCGGCGAAGTTAGGGGGTCGCCGACGCGGGGCGGAGGAGGGCGCACAGCCTCGGCGGGAGCGGGCGGAGGTGAGTGACACCGCAGTCGGGTCTGGTGCTGCCCGGGAAAGCCCTGGGAATTGGGGGCCACGCGTGCTCCGGGAGCGCCGCGGCATTCCCTGTCGGGCTCCCCGCGCTGGCAGCATCTCTGCCGGGACTTCCACGCCACTTGGTTTGCACGGAGCTTGGTGGGTACCATTGTCAGAAGTTGGGTGCTGGGTGGTGTTTTTGGTGAAGACCTTGGCATTTGGCTAGTCAAGCCGAGGTGAGGGTCCTTGGTCAGATTTTGCCTCCCCCCCCCACACCCGAACACACACCCGATTTCTGTCGGATCCAAGCCGTGAACGAAAAGTTTGCACAGCCAACGTGTTGCTTGAGGGGAGAAATACTTAGTGGGGTACCTTTGGTGTTTGGAGGGGTACTTCAGTTCCAAGTCAGTGCAGCCGAATACCGGGTTTGGAGAAAAAGTTCAGGTTGGAGGATGGGAGATGAAGCAATGCCGTGCCCAGTGGAGGAGAGTGATGAATGTTTGCTCCTTAAGGTAAATTGGGGGGTGTCGCAGTGAGGATGGGATGCGGTGGCGAAGACAGGGGGGCGTTCCCCGATCCCTGCTTGCTTAGCTGGTAGCTTGGCTCTGAGGACATCACCCACTTGTCGGCAGTGAGAGGCGCTGGTGTCAGAGGCCTGTGTGTCTGTGTGAGACACAGTGGGACCGAGCTGCCCTGCAGATCCAAGGCACCGGTGTCTCTGCCGTTCACGGTCTTGAAGAAGTCTCTGTGAGTGTTTCTTATGCTCTCATTTCAGGAGAATCTGTCACGTTTGTTTTCCCTGTCGGGAGGTGTGTGTTTTCCCCTAAGAGGAACTTTCAGATTGACTGTAGGGTTTTGAAATCCGTGAGAAAAGCCGTCTTGATGCACACACGTATCTCACGACTAGGCACAGTACAGAAGCGAGACACAAAGGGCTTAAAAAGTTTAACTCATGCCAGGAACGAAGTGAGGAATTAAGCGCTTCCCCCCATGGTATACCGCTTATGCAACTGAATATTTTTGGTGGGCCGAGACAGCTTATAGAGTAGCGATTAGGGGCTCCGAGTCCTCCGAGCATAATCCAAACCTTGTAAGAATGAAGTCCAGGAAAAGCAGAGTGAGTTCTCATGAACCCATGTTACAAAAAAACTAACTTGAAGTCTTTTGACTTTTGAAAAGATCTAGATGTTATTTTCTGATGCCCCAGAAATCTTTTAAATCCTGTAATTAGTAACAGCACAGAAGTTGCAGTTAATAAAGGAGGACAGTATAAAAATCACGTTTGGGAAAAGATGCCTTTGAACTGCTCTTTGGGACTTTGGATGTTTATTATGGAAATTATTGTCACTGGAAGTTTGTTGTGTTCTATATTTGCATTTTTTTCCAAGGATAAGTAGTCAATCTTATCCTTTAAAACTACTGCTCCAGTTTGGGCCAATTTAATTATTTCACAGACATCAAGTACCTTCTGCTTAAAATACGTCGGAACAGTAACGTATCTCAGGTAAGTTTGCCGTTTCCCTCACTTATGTTGTCTGAATGGAGCAAACCTCACCATGAGAAGTGTTGACTGTCCACACGTCACACGCGGGGAACAGGTCAGGTCTTCAGGCGTGTTTCAGTTAGCAAAGTGGTGCCCAGTGCACTGGTATCCTGAGCCCAGACCTTTGATGGACTGGCAGCTAGAGGGAGAGAGGTTTGCTCCCAAGCTGGTGATCTCCACTACACAGTGGACAGTTTAGGTGGACAGTAGGTGTGCAGGAGGAAGAGTTTGAGATGAGGTATCAGTTTATAGACAGGAAGCAGATGCTCTTTGTACCTCAGCCTCCCTGTTCCTCTCTCTGAAGTCCAGCCTGTTGAGCTGCCTTAGCTGCAAAGCCAGACTGACATTGGCCAAGACTTGCACTGAGCCACCACTGTCTGTAAGATAATGATGATGCCTCTAAAGCTAAAAGGCGATTTTGTATGATTGTCATTGTTTGTGACGGGACTATTTATTATAGACCTTATGAAGTTACTTTCACCGTCCATAATTGCTGCACACACAGAGACCACACACACACACACACACACACACACACACACACACACGTACACACGCACACTATACATTAGCTTCTCCCTCAGGGTTTAAGAATTTTAAATCTTGAGGCTAGCTAGAAGAGAAAAAGTGAACTACTTTAATGATACTCATAATTCATAATCTCAATATTTTCAACTGTGGGCTCCATTTTTTATTAGGGCGATTTTCTTGAATTGTTTAAACATTACAACATGTTGTGCTGTACACCCTCTCAGAGGGGAATGTGTATGTTATTCTTAAATAGAGATATGGAGAAATAGCTAACAAGGAGAGTCATTCGAGAAACATATGGACATGATAAAATCCTTCTGTGTGCGGCATCTGCACCTTCTCATTAGTGAAATAGGGAAGCCATGGACATTTTTCTTGTGATTACATCCAAATGTGTGTTTTTTTTTATATTTGTGTTTAAGTTGGTGGGGGCTTTTACTGCTTAAAGCACTTTCTTTCCAGTGAGGATAGCACACTTAGTTTTGTTATTCACATTCACAGATACAGATAATTGTTTCTAGATTGTTATTATAACTTAGATCTCTTGGTAATTCTCATCCCCCCACCCCCAAAGAGATAGGATTTAGAAAGAGGACAGCGGGAAGATGGATAGACCCACAGTGGCACATTAGTGACTCTGTGACCCCAAGGGCATTGATATGTATTTATCATTTTATTAATCACAAGAGCAAACTGCCATAGCGATATCATAGGTTTACACAATCCCAGATTCTCGAGCATCATCTCTAGAGGTAGCATAGATTTGGGGACCCTTGTTCTAGTCAGCATGAATAGGTTCTTGCTCTGGGAAAACTCTCACAGCCATCTGAACGGGGAAGAGCAGCCTCAGCTTCTCTAGGTGGCATGCTTTCCTGCAGACGCTCCCCAGCCCACGTCTTGTCCTGACTCTGCTGGTCTTGCTTTATCAACCACAGCCTCTTCCTTCCCTGATCAAAGCACCCTGGGGTTTATCAGTTCTCTTATCAGCCCGAGAATCAGCAGCAAGAGGACTCTTGATCCCATTTTTTTTTAGGAGAATATTCCAGAAGTCAGGAAGGGAACACCCACTCCAGAGCCAGATGGTGGTCAGAGATCATGTGATGCGTATCAAGGATGTGTGCTCCCCCACCCCCGTGGGTCTCATGCTTTGGCGTAATTTACAGTCTGATGACTGTAAACAAGAGGTTTAATGGGAAAATCTTGTTTTTATTCGACTTTGCGTCTTAATAAATAGACCTTACTAGAAGAAAACACACAGCAACTTGCTCATCTTTTTCTTCCTTCTATTGCGCTCTCTTTATCAAATCTCAACAGAGTTTTTAAGATAATTGCCTACGTGACTTGTAGCAGCCAAGGTGATAGATAGATGTGCGCCATTGTGTGGTTAGATCCAGGAATGAAGTGTATTAGCCAGGATGCAGAAGAAAACATTGGAGTCCTTAGAAAATGAAGTCTTATGTAAGCTCACACATATTTGTTGAAAACAATTCTAGTTTTTTTTTTTTTAATGAAGAAAACAGGCCTAGACACTTTCTATCCAGTTAATGTAGTTTTACTTTCCCTTCTCTTAATTGCATGCTTTGTGCAAACTCATCTGAAAGATTTTTCAGTGCAAAGGACGGGGGAAATCTGGTGATTTTCTGTTGTCTGTGAAGAATCTGGTTTGCAGCTTCAGAGAGAGGGAGTGCTTACCTGTTGTATGATGTAGAAGGCAGAGTACAGCAGGATGTTCTAAAACTGATGGTGCTGATATTGCCGGAAATGGTACTGTCTTCCTATTGTGCAGAAGCTGTTTCAGGAAAGAGGTAAGTGCGGACCAGCTCCTGGAGCATAGGGATAAGTGGAATGTTCAAAAAAGGTAAGATCTGGATAGATTAATGTCACTCAAGGTATTTTGTAGCCAGGCATGAAAATGAATGCCAGTACTAAATAAATTTATTAGAGAATATTGGTGGTTTTCATTTGCTATTTCTGCATAACTCGCACAATGAGTTTATCAGTTTGAAGCAACCCCCATTCCACACAGCTCATCAGGCGCTCTAATCCGGAATCTCTTCGGGACTTGGTCAGGGCCACAGTCTCATCAGATGCTCCATGGAGAGTGACCAGCGTCCATCTTTCCTGTACTGACAGTAGTTTCGTCTTCCTGTAGCTGTAGGGCCGAGGTCTCCGCTTCCTATCTGGCTGTCACTGTCAGGTTGTCTCAGCTCTCCTTTGCTGAGGAGCCCCCTTACGGGCACCTGTGCAACATGGCAGCTCACGTCCTCAGATCTCCGTTTCTCTGCTTGAGTGAAACAGAGACTGTACTGTGGCATGGCGTGATACTTCGCCTTTCCCATATCTACATCAATATCTTTAAAAATGATTTATTTTTTTTACTGTACATGCATTGATGTGTTGCCTGCATGTATGTCTGTGTGAGGGTTTTGGATCCCCTAGAACTGGAGTTACAGACAGTTGTGAGCTGTCATATGAGTTCTGGGAACTGAACCTGGAGCTTCTGAAAAAACAACCTCTGATTTTAGCCATCCATGCACACACACACACACACACACACACGCACACACATGTATATATGTACACATCCACATAATATATACATATACACATGCACACATACATATAATATACACACATGCAATATAATATATACATATACACATGCACACATACATATAATATACACACATGCACATATAATATATACATATACACATGCACACATACATATAATACACACATGCACATATAATATATACACATACACATGCACACATACATATAATATACACACATGCACATACACACATGATATATACATACACACATATATAAGTAATATATATAACTATCTATAATACATATATAACTAATGTGTCATCCAGTCCACAGAGTGGCATCATCACAGTCTATTGATTCTACTTATC